ATATATATATATATATATATATATATATATATATATATATATATATATATATACATTCACATACACATATTCACGTACATAATATATTCACACACATACATTCAGGTACATACAAAGATACATACATAGATACATGGATACATACATAATACATACATACATATACATGCATATATACGCATGTGCACATACATCATGAAGTTAAATTGAAATATTTATGTTCATTAAGAGATTTTCAAAATCTGATCAGTACATTTTCAATAATTTAAATTGCAGAAAAATAAACACATTGAAATTTAAATTTCATAATTACATTGTGTTATTATCAAATTTTTTTTTATCGATAAATATAAATATTTTGATAATTTACACTGATAACATTATCAAATTATTATCTAAAAAGCTTATCTTTAACAAAAAATAAAAATGATCAAATTTTGACCAAAAAATAACAAAATTTAAAATAACTAAAATTAACAACCAATATTACATAAATAAATTCGTTTTCTAATAGTTTTTCATATTTGATTTGTTTATTTATTTTCTCATTTAGCTTATTAATTTTACTGATTTTTATTATTTGAAATTTAGGTTTACAATAGGAAAAAAGAAAGCTAATTATGCTTCAAAAAATAAGAAATAAAAAATGGAATTCAATAGATAAAAATTAAATAATACATACAGTAATTACTTGAAGTAATAATATAAATTGAATTATGTCATTAATGTTATTCAATTTAAATGTTCATTTGAATTGATATAACAATGAATTATCATTTCCAATTCGTACATTTCATCGATAAATAATGTTCGAAAAAATTTAATTGACAAAATCACATGAAATATTTATCATTTTTTACTCTTATCGTAATCAATATGATCATATCAGTGATGTGTTCATTCTTAATTTGTATAAATGTATGTGAAATTTTTACAAAAATTCCTTCATCATATCTGATGATAACATATGGATTAATTTAATGATAATAGCAAACAATACTTTTATTACAGAATGAATAATCAATGTGGATAAAATTTCGAAAAACAATGAAATATGTAAAATTTTTTGTTAATTATGCCATTTAATTTATTGTTAAAATAATAGTAAAGAATAAGAAAAAAGAAAGTTAGCAGTAAATGAAAAATAAATAAAGTTGTGCCATTATTTGAATTAATTAATTTAATTACATTATGGTATTCAATTATTTAAATTAATTAAGTGGAATTTTTTTTTCTTCAATATGTATATTTTAAACAAACTGATTATATTATTGTAAATTAAAAAAAGAAAAGGATGTGAAAAAAGAGAAATTTTTAGTATCCGTTTATAATTACAGATAACATAACATCCTCGATTTATTTATCATTGTTTGAATATTTTGGAATTTTTTAAATGACCTGAAATTCGTAAATCTAAAATTAATTTCGACAATAAATTAAGTTGAAATAATGCTGAATATAGAAATTTCAAAAAGTAAGTTTTCTTTTTTGAAAACTTTTTAAATAACATTTTACATGAAAAGGTATTCTGTACAAATTTTAATCTAGTTCATGTCAGTAAAAGATTTCTTTTGCAAATTAGATTAACCTAGTAACAGTTTAGATCAGATTTGATCCAAGATGAAAGAGGGAGGTAGCGGTATTTTTGTTTCATCTTTTAGCGAAATATCATTTATCTATAACCTTTAACCCTTTAATTATGGTATAAACTAAGATAACATTAATGTCAGAATTATTTGAACTTGGATGGAAAATTTGCTTTTTCATAAAAATAATTTAATTCAATAGAATATGATGAAAGTTTCCCTTCTGATTCTTCGCCGAATATTCGCTGATTTTTTGACCAATGACCATTAAAAATTCTTAAAAATAAATTTTCAGTTCTGGGATTAAAATTTAAAATCATTTCTTTTACATTTATTTTTAAATTTTCACATTTTTTATGAATTGTATGAAATTTTATCAATTATATAAAAATTTACAACTCTTATAAGCATTTATTTCATGTATTTCCTTTCATGCATAACTTTATTGTAAAATTATTTAAATTTAATTAAAAAATTTGCATACACATAGATTTTTTTAATTTGAAATTCTATCATAATATTGCAAAATAAGATTTTAAATTATAATAAAATTTGCAAAATGTTTTTAAAAATATACAAGAAAAACGATTAAAATTATGGTTGCAACAGCCTGAAAAATAAAAAAATAAAACTGTAAAAGTGAGCAAAAAATAAATAAACTGTTATTAAAAAACATAATAATTAAAGTAATCAATAGAATAATCAAAGTGATCAAAATTTAATTTATTTCAAATATTCAATTCTTTTCTCTTTGCAAATTTTCATTACCACAATTTTGCATTGTTTTATTTTATATTTTATAGTATAATATTTCAATTGTAATATATTATTGCATGTAACATTCGTTTGCTTTATATCAATATCTTCGTTAATATTGCAATACATCTTTTATCTTTAATATATTTTATTACAATAATTTAAATTAAATTGTGTTTACAATAGTAAGCGGTACTTATATAGAATATACTTTATTATAATTTTATTATTTTTATTAGGTACACCATTTAGATATGCATATATGATTACTGTAGCAATGTATGATTTATGCATTTGATATTCTGCAAAATACCGATAAAATCATTGCAAATGGCTTCCCGCAGTAATATAATTTGTTGCATGCACATTTATTTGCATGCAATCATGCCGGATGCTACATTGCATGCAATCATGTCGGATGCTATATTGCATGCAATCATGTCGGATGCTATATTGCATGCAACCAATAGCACAATACAACATTCGATACAACTGTTGCAATTTTTCGGTTAAACTTAAATTTCCAACCAATAAATGGTCCCTAGAAGTGGTGATAATTGAAGAAAAAAACGAAAAGAAAAAAAGAAGGAGACTATTAGAAAAAGGTGAATAGTTTTTAGATTAAATATTAAACATTAACGAAGATTAAATGTTTAAATTAAAAAAAAAAAAACATAAAAGAAATTGACATCAATCAGTAATGATTTTGGGTGTGTCTTTTGACATTAACATGAAAAATTTTTAAAGTTTAGAGAAAAATTTAAAAAAAAGAAAACGAGGAAACTACATACGCACACATCCACTCATATACACACATACACACACACACACACACACACGTGCACGCA